AAAAACTTTGTTGTCGACCACTGAAAAAAAAAAAAAAAAAAAAAAGGAAATCATCATTCTCTCCATCATATGGATTTACTTTTATCGGCTAAACACCGGCCTCAAAGCTCCGTGAATGTTGGTGCCGTCACTTATTGATCCGCGATCGGTAAATGTAGCTTGTGTTCACGCTACTACGCTACTTAATAAAATAGCTTCGCTACTGAAAAGCTATTTGATTTAGAAAGTAGCAATGCTACTGCCCCGCTACTGAGAAATGCAGGTAAGCTAGTAGGGTCACTACTTGTAGCGACGCTACTACCCAACACTGCTGACATCCATAGTAAGAAAGTAAAACACTATAGAAGTCAATGGTTACAGGTTTACAACATTTTTCAAAATATCTTCTTTTGCATTCATCAGAACAAGTCAAGGATAAAACATGGTGACAGAACTTTCATATTTTGGGTGAACTATTCCTTTAAATAATTTACTAGCCATCTAAAAATGTTTAAATAAAGACAGAATCATATGCAGACAATATTATAAACAGCACAAGCTCATTGTAAAATAGTACTCTTGTATAGATTTCTGGAGAGCGCGAATTATGTAGCCAGAGGTACGTATGGCTGCATTTCGTCTTTAAAATTGACGCTATGAGGTGTTATGTCACGACCGACGACTTCTGTTTCATTTTGCACTGCCAGCTGACCACTTACCTCCGTGTAGATGGCTTTCCCGCTGGTACCAGTTTGCTCAGTAGCTCGCCATGTACGTCAGCAGACTTGAGATGCAGAAAGGAGTTCACATCGACAACAGGGTTTGAGTCCGGTGAAGAACAGTTCCAGAAATCAGGTAGAACAAAAACAAAAGGCAAAAAATAAAATAAGTAAATACCAGGGTGAGAACTTGGTAAGTTCTGAAAATGTGGTACAAATCAGGCTGCCACGGGGGCTTTTCTTTTCTAGAGTGCTTTTGAAAACACTATCGGCTGGGTTTAGGGAAGGGGGTGGGTGTTGTATCAATTAGTCAGTCAGTCAGTCAGTCTACAGCAGCCTCTGGTGGATTAACGTGAGAAGAGCAGGTGTGAATTGCATTCACAAAAGAAATTTGAGGTCTGAAAAAGCGTACACAGCGGCCTCTGGTGGATTTGCGAAAACAAAAACTGCAAAAAAACGCAGCTCCTTGGACATTTCGCGATCTCCAGAAATGAATACAGGGGTCTGCATCAATAATGAGCCTGGGTTGGTTATAAACTATGCAACAGATACTTCCCAAACTCCCACTAAAGCCCAAAAATCGACCCAAAGTGCTGAAACATCACAACAATCCTATCGTAATTTCATTTGGCTAAGCCTGAACCATTGAAGTGATTGTTGTAATTAATTTGGAAAGGTCAAAGGACCCACTTGTGCTGCTGAGATATGTGTAAATGTGACTTTGGTTGGGGCTGGAGAGTTGAGCGCGGCGGGCCTCCAGAGACCGTCGACCTCATTAACACACCAAGCCCCCTCGTTCAACAGCCACTTGTGCTGTGATTGGCCTGATTAAGACGAGGAACGCTCTCCACGCAGAGCCTCATTACAACATCACACAACCTCCCACCTCACATCACTATTAATACGCCATTAAGACATAATTCACAAACACACAACTCTGACTTGGAGGAATATGCAGAGCGGCGGTTAAAGGGCCCCGGGGCCCGATGCAGCCGCTCTCGTCCCCTCCCCGAAGAATACTAGACGTGGCCATTCTCATTCAGCACACAGAAGATCACATCTGCGCGCTCGTAATGTGCTTAAGAAGCCTGCGTCCTCCTTAATCAGCTCACTTAGGTGAGGAGGTGAGCGGGCCGCCGCGTTGGGCTTGGCCATGCTTGCCTTCTCTGAACTAGGGATGCAACGATTATGGATTTTGTTGCTACAGTTAACGTCTGAGGAATAATCATTGTTATTATAGATTAGTTCATTTCACAACACTGTTAGTTTATAAAATTGCACAATTTTTAATTCACACTTTACAATAAGGTTTCATTAGCTAATGTATTCACTAACATGAACCAATAATGAACTATACTCGTAAAGCATTTATTAATCATAGTTCAACATCAGTTTGCAACACTTAATGCACAGTGAGTTAACATGAACTAACAATAAACAGCTGTATTTTCATGAACTGATGTTAACAGACATGATTAAATACTGTAATTAACATATTTTACGTTGCTTGTTCATCATAGTAAATGCAATAACTTTAACTAATACAACCTTATTGTAAAATGTCGTTATATTTTAAAGTGTTATTTATTGTTGCTCAGTTACCACAGTATTAAACTTATTCTTTACATACGAGCAGGTGCAAGCATTGGAATCTTGTTGGGTTGAGACTTCCAGTCTCATTCACTTCCATTTGTTTTTAGACGTTAAAAACAGATCAGTAAGCTTCTGGATGTTGCGAACTGACATTTTCTTATTATATTATCCTTCTACTTGATTGTAGAGCAAGTTTTCTGCCGTTTATTATTCCTAGTCATTTCTCCCATATACAACTGAATCATAAGTTCTAAAACAATCGCAAAAATGAGCACCCTTAAACTTTGCAGACCAAGGCCAATATACCGTAAAAGAAAAACTAAAAAAAAGGCCATTTGCTGTTTAAGAAAATTGAAAAAGGTTCCATTCAATCTTCCATTGGTTTTTGGATGTTAAAAACATCGTTAAGCTTCTTGATGTCGCAAACGGATATTTTCTTATGTTATCCTTCTTTTATGTGGAAGTCATGAACACACTTGTTTTAGAGCAAAAACCTAAAACACAATGGTAACACTTTACAATAAGGTTCATTAGTTAATACATTTGCTAACATGGACTAATCATGAACAACACATGGACAGCATTTACTAATCATAATTAAACATTTACTAGTGCATCATTAACATCCAAGTCCACGCTTGTTAACATTAGTTAATGCACCAATTTTTATTAACTAACGTTAACTAACATGAACAAATACAGTAGTAGATGTATTGTTCATTATTTGTTTATGTTAGTAAATGCATTAATTAACATTAACTAATGAACCTTATTGTAAAGTGTGACCAAATCACTATCGCAGTCGCAAAAACGAGTGGACTTCCGTATTTCAGAATAAGGCTAATATAGCACAAAATAATAATACAAGCTAAAAAAAAAAGTCAATTGCTCTCTTTGGAATTAAAGAAAGTAAAAAAAATCCATTGACTCTTCCATTGATTTCTAGATGCTGAAAACAGATCGTTGAGCTTCTTGATGTCGCAAAATGATATTTTCTTATTATATTATCCTTCTTTTTTATGTGGAAGTCATGAACACACTTGTTTGTAGAGCAAGTAGTTTGACCATTTTCTGCCATTTATTACTCCTAGTCATTTTTCCCATAGGCAACTGAATCATAAGTTCTAAAACAATCGCAAAAATGAGCGTGCAGAACAAGGCCAATATACTGTAAAATAAAAAAATAAAAAAAGAGAATAAATTGCTGTCTTTGGAATTAGATAAAATTGAAAAAAGGTTCCATTAAATCTTCCATTGATTTTTGGATGTTAAAAACATCGTTAAGCTTCTTGATGTTTCAAACGTAGATTTTCTTATGTTATCCTTCTTTTATGTGAAAGTCATGAACACGCTTGTTTGTAGAGGGAAAAACTTTCAGCTTGACGCGTGTCGAAGTGTCATTTTCACGTTTTGCAGCACACTGTTTAAATAGCAAATGCATTTGCGCTCTATGTGCACGCAAAAGGCGTTCTGGTCTAAAAAAGGAGGTGTGTTAAGGCGCATTGCTATTAACTAAAATACACTGTTCAATAGACCAGATCAAAGCAGGTCTAAAGTCCAGTGCAGAGAGTGTTAGTTGTGCGCCTCGCTTACACATTGCTTAATACACACAGGATGTACAGCAATACGCAAATATCTTTAAAAATGAAAAAGAATTAAAGGATTAAAATATTACAGTAATTATTACTTTGTACATAAATATAAAAACCACCCGCCTCCATGCGTTCTTTATCTCGGGGGGGCTTTTCAGTTTATTCATGACAATTTGCTTTTGTATAATGTTATTATTATTATTAGCAGTATTATTTATTATATGCATATTTATATTTGTTTTATTTAAAAACAAGCTTAGATTTGTCCACCTGTCAGGTTTTAGACCATATGATGCACAGCATGTGTATTTGAATATAACTCAGTTTTTTGAGCAGACTTTGTTGTTATTGTTCATTTATTCGTTTGCTTTAAGTTAAAACTGAATTTAGAAATAGTTTAGAAACAAATCTTTGCGATTAACAAACAAAATGATTTATGTAGGCTAATAGATGTCTGTGCAAACAACATGTTTCCCTATCCACGAGAGCGAAAGTGAAAGTAAAGAATGTGGAGGCTCATCTCCTATTCTCTTGCTGTGGATGCTCTGTTTATCTGTTTTCTCTCTAGTGAAGCATTCAGTTTTTTCCACTTACAAAGTCCGTCATGTAAATAGCAAATAGGCTATGGCATGACACAACTGACTCTTAAAGGGAATGGGAGATGAGACTCTGATTGGTATATTCTCAAAACACACCTATAACTCATTAAGAGAATAAGCTCAACCCTGTTAGACCATGTGCCACGACACAAAGCAAATTTTTTGATCCTTAAAATAAAGGTGGATTCTGACGTCTTAATGCTTTTGCGTCCTGCGCTTTGAACTTTGCGCCAATATCATTAAAATAGAGCCCCATGTTACTTAAAAAGTTTAAAGTTGAAGCTGTCGCTTCGCTGGAATAACTTTTCAATAGTTTCATTCCACACAACAAAATCACACTGTTGCCGGGCCTTTATGATGTATTAACCATGTCGAATTTGAAAGTGATATTGTTTAATCGCTGCATCCCTACTCCTAACCAATGTTTTGCATCTGTGGAAATTGTCTGTAATTTTTTTTGTGTGTGTGTGTGTGTGTGTGTGTCGCTTTCTTTTCTTGTTTGCTTTTGAAAATCGGAGGTGTCTAGTCACATACAGGTCTTAGCAAGAAAGAAAGTTCGAGAAATCCAAGCTGCCATCAAGGTACGTCTGGCTCTGCCCAGTTGCAGGGGGGCTTTTCATCGCCATGGTTACAGGCTGTTCCTTTGTCTTCCCTCCCCTCCCCTACCCCGCAGGTGTCTAGTCACATTCAGGTTCTTGCCAGAAGGAAATCTCGTGAATTACATTCCAAGCTAAAGGTATGCGCTTTTCTGCTTTCGGGCTTGTGGTTGCCATGCCATGTCTCACTTCCTGTTTCCTGCCTAATGCCTTGTCGCTCTAATTCCTGTAACCTAGATCCCTCGCATGCAACGGCTTGTTTAGCATACATAATTGAACGCCTCGGCCCCCGTCATTCTCCTTTCTTGACTGTTTTACTGGCCGTTTTGTCTCACTGACCGCTAAGTGCATGTGCTGCTCTGAGTCTGTAGGTTCTGTGGTGACTCCTGGTTAAATATAGAAGGAGTGCAGTAACTATCGGCACAAGCCACAAACCTGGAAACCAGCATATAGGTTTTTGGGGATTAATATGGATGTGAAATTCAATAGGTCTGGAGAGCAAAGGCAACTATTAAGTTTGTTCCCTAATGCAACATTATTTTGTCACTCAACCACTTGAAACAGGAGTTTTCTGTCCCTGTAATTTTGGGGGCTGTATTTTTAAAACTAAAACCCCTCATGTTTAGTCTTTGTGGCGTACATAACTATTTTATGAATCAATTTATTTGTAAATGAAGTCATGGTCAGTGTTAAGTGACTGCAGGGATAGTTTTTCATGTCATTTTGGGATAAATCACGGACTAAACCTTTAGGTTCAAATCTGGTTTGTATTAAATAACTTCGTTGATCACTTTTACTTTGTAAATAATAAAATAATCATGATTAAATGTTACGTTTCATTTTAAAGATAGATTAAAAAAGAAACTTTTTCATATTTAAAGGGTCACGAAACACCAAAACACATTTTTTGAGCTGTTGACAGTCGTATATGTGTCCCACACTGCTAAAAACACTATTAGGACACCTATATTTCACTAAAAAGTGTAAATTGGTTGTTTTTGCGTTATTTCAAGCAAATTCGTACTTCCTGTTTGAAACGAATTTTTGAAGCTGCGTCACGGTCATGACATAATTGCGTGTATTCCAGCGTGCAGACTGGACGTCTGTGCCAGAGTGAGTCTTATTACGTCTTACAGTGTGATGCATTAATGCATGAGTAAAACTTGGTTCAAACCAATCAGCGCGCTCTATTGTGCAACTTCATTAATAGTCATTTGTGTCACCGTGCTTACACCACAAAGACGCCACGTTGTGTTGGCAAAACAACCGTGAAGTGTTGCTTTTATAGTTTGCTGCCGTTAAGTTTCGTTTTTATCTTCTCTCTGTGAGAGCTTATCTGGATCACGTGTGGATTACAGTGTACGCGACGCTCGACAACAATAACTTACGTGTCTAAGGAGGATTATTGTTTACCTGAGAGCTGTTCTCATCTGCAAACGCTGAAATCTGGATTCGCTTGTAGTATTCTCTCCATATAGACGTGGCTCTAGTTGCTGGTGATTGTCCTGTCTCTACAGATTTGGTAAGTGAGCGACCAGTGCTCTTTGTTTATTCAGTTTGTTCGTATCGAATTAAGTTAACTATTGCACTTAGTGCAGACATGTTAGCACCGCATTTAGTGACAGGAATAACACACGCAGCTTTCTGACGCTACCTGCCGTGTGCATCTAAGTTTCCGGGAAATGCGGAGGTTTTTTTTTTCTCTCATTCGCCGTGCGGTATCAAACATGGCATGAAAAATACACGCTTAGATCAGTTCCTCGAATCAAATATCTCGTTTGTCGCGAGAGGCATGAATGAATTCTCTGAATGAAAGAGCCAAACTGCAGTTAAAGTCCAACATTTAATAATTTAGCAAATAATTCGACTACAGATGTCCATGTAGGTTAAACACCATCACTTTCTCCTGTCTGTGTGGGTGTGTATTTTGACTCTGAAACTTAAACGTGCACAAATAGACACTCCCTTACCATCCCACTTTAGTTCCTCCGACACTCCCCCTTAACAGAGCTGGACACGCCCACTTTTCTGACTTTTTCCAAAGTAGAGGTGTGAAAACACCCTGCTGAAACGAGGGGGTTTCATGGCCCTTTAACAAACCGTTTACTACGAATTTGATGTAATTTTTCTCACATGGATAATTGAATATTAATCAGATGATGTCATTACGCTGCTGTGCCATCAGCCAATCCTTGCATTGCTGATCATGATTTCGAGGATCGATAGATCTGTCCTTCAAAACACGCGCAGCGATCTCAGATCCGTTCATCCAGGGGTCCGTTCTTCGTACGTGGATTACTCAGTTAGCTGGATTTGGATGTTGACGATTTGACACGATCCAGGATCGTTTCGTTCTTCAAAGCTGATCCGAGAGTTGTTGTCATAGCAACAGTTCTGCTAGGACAAACCTGATCGGGAGCAGGTTCAATTTATATAAACAGGATTAGATCGGCTCAGTTCATGCAAAGATAATAGAGAAAGTATGTTCTGAATTCTGATATTTTCTTACAGTTGTAGTTACACTTGGGAAAAGGTACATATTTTTTAACTACATATATAAAGTTATAGTCATTAATAAAACCAATAAAGTTATACATATTAATAAAACTTATGCAATCTGCACCCTCGAAATGAAAGTACAAAGACTGCCACCTGGTGGTGCTAAGAGAAAACTTATTTATTTGAACTTTTTAGATAACTTTAGTACAAATTGTGTATAATAGAAATGCACAATATGTGACTTTTTTTTAAAGCAATAATACATTTATGCAGTCATGAACATGTTTTGACAGTTACTATGCCAGTGATTTGATGCTTCACAAAAGTTGCAGACGCCTTTACCAATATGAAAATGCTTTTGTAAACAACCAGTTATTCTTTACACCGATTAAAAAAACGGCTACTATAATAAAGAAAATATTTTCTAAATGTAGAACTAAATACATTGATTTGCATTGAAATACATGATGGATACTCTTGACACATGAAAGTGTAAAGCCTACAGCTCACAACAAATGTGGAAGGTTATTGCGTGTCATATTTAACAAACCGTTTACTGCTCATTTGCTGTAATTTAGCTGACATGGATAATTGAATATTAATCAGATGATGTCATTACGCTGCTTTGCAGTCAGCCAATCATTGCATTGCTGATCATGATTTCGAAGATCGATAGATCTGTCCTGCACAACACACGCAGCGATCTCAGATCAGTTTATCCAGACATTCTAATCTGATTCACGAACTTGTTTGAAGAACCAAATTAGCGAGAGATCAGTTGTCAAGATTAAAAGATCCAGGATCTGCCAAATCATCTTAGATCATTTAAGTGAGGTACGAAGAACAGACCCTGGTGTACACTGCATACACTAAGCTAACTTATTATTTTTCAAAAATGTAAGTAGATCAAAGATAAAACAATTAAGTTGTCCCCAAAAAACTCAAGAATTGTGTTTTAAATACGTAGTTTGAACAAACACCAAACACCTTTTTTTGAGTGTAGGATGCACAGAAAATGTTTTGACGGTCACATTGTTTTCACGTTAGCTTTTAAACTGCTAATAGTTGCCTTTGCTATTTAAACAAGGATGACAGAAAAAACAACAACAACAACAACAACAACCTTGAAAGGCCACTGCACTGCGCTGGTCATATGCATGTCTGTGTTTTGTTTGCATGTATGTGTTGTATATGAAGTGTGGCTTCAGCTGGTGAGAGTGGCTGAGAGCTGGAGGTCAGAGTTCACCGCTTAAACAACACGAGCGGCCACACGACGAGCACAGTCTCGAGTAAAAGCAGCAGCGCATTGCCTTTATCTCTCCTGGAGTTTAATGAGGTCATCCGTTCTTCCCAAACGCTCTGCACAAGAAGTCTGGCCCAAAGAGGCCCATTAGGTGCTTTTTCTGTGGCGTTCGCCTCTCCTCTCGCTCTTTTTCTTGGCTTTTTTTTTTCAATAACCCACTGGCCGTCAAACGCTTTCCTCATGCTGCATTAATGAAACTACTGAAATCACCCCCCCCCCACCCATTCTCTCCCACCATTTCCAAACGTCCTCCCCTGTGTGATTCAGCCATACAAACAGCAAAGTGTGCTGCATATAATCACCTTACATCAAATGCATCTCATCCACAAAGGCTGCGGCTTACAAAAAAAGGGGGCCTTTTGTGGAAGGGATAATCTGATAATAAATTGACCTGTCATTTAAGATACATCTGCAAGGGTCGTTTCCTAATGTCTGTGTTTACTGAAAAGACCTTGAGGTTGGTCTGACTTCCCTGTGTCTTTCTCTTTCTTTTTTGTGAGGTGATGACTAACTCCTTTTGACCAGCACACTTTTTTTTTCCACAGTTCCCAGTTTACTCAGATTAATGACTCCCCCAATTTGTGTGCGAGTGCATGCGTGTGTGTGTTATGTGTGTGTGTGCGCGCCTAGTGAAGCGTCTGTGTGCATTTCCGCCATGAATGGCTGGTCTTTCAGGGACACTGGCGGCTGCCTGAGTAAAAACAGCCAGCTTTTGTATGGGTCTCTGTCTACTCTCATCTAAAGCAAATTAGAAATCAGGAGCGGGGAAGAATTTGAGCTCCCTCCTGCCATTTGCAGCGTAGCATTATAGTAAACCTGCCCAGTGTGCTCTTATCTGAGACATGTTGACTGAAATGACTGTCATTATGGTGCCACTCTTTGAGCTGGTCTGTAATGAAACCCTAGCCACAGTGATCTCAAACTGCCATATTATCAGCTATAAATCTTCCCCAAAGATGCTTTCTGCAGTTCATCTGCTTGACCAGCGCTCACGCTGAGTCCCTAATCTTGGTTTTGCTATTAGCGCGTGCAGCGGGACTTCAGAAATCACTGACATTACATGTATTTATTTCAAAATTTGCAATTTGGTCATATTTGTAATTAGTAAGCTGTGTTATATTCAAAATGTAATCACTGTGTAAAACTCCTGATGAAAAGACCAGCTTTATATTACTATTGTGTTTTATTGCTGGTTAGGTTTGTTTTCAGTATTCCTATTATGAAAATAGGCAAATTTTTCAACTCTCCTAAAGTTAAACAGATGAATCTTGGCATTTTTGATTCCGTCCAGCTGATCTCCAGGGGCCTCATGTACGAAGACTTGCGTGGAAATCTTACTAAAACATTGCGTACGCACAAAGCTGTAAATGTGCGTACGCAGAAAAAAAATTCAGATGTATGAAACACTGCGTACGCCGAATCTCACGCATATTCTTTTGTACATCCGAATGAACGTGAAACTGAGCGCAACATGCACGAGCACAAAACCCCTCCCTGCCTCCGCCCCCGTATGAATATGCTAATGACTATGCTAATGGCAAAACCCAACGAAAAAGCAATGTCAAAAGCAAGCTAGAAGAGAAACTTTGAACAGAATGTGAATTGTAGGTGCTGCTTTCGGAGGTAGACCGGAGAAAAGCGGTGTTATTTGCAAGTTTGTTCTCCGGAATTAACAACAAAAGAAAAAAAATAGAGTGGGAGAGTTTAGCTGATGCGGTTAACACAGTCGGGTCTGAACATCGCACTGAGTGCATTAAAAAAATAAATAGTCTGGTTTATATCTGTAAAATGTTGCAGCACTCTTAACAGTCTCAGTGGCGCGCTCGTAAGACGCATGTGATCATGTTTTGACAAGTTCGAGCATGAACTCGGCTCGAATCCAGCGTCTGATGAACTCATTCTTCTTTTTTTCCGCCGCTACATATCAGATTTTGCCAACTATTTATCACGAGAAAGACAAGTAGGAATCATCAATAAGTTTGTGCATCATATTTTATTTGCACATTTATTGAATGGAGATGTTTCTGATTCACGTATGCAAATTCATTTTCAGATAGTGTCTTTATAGCAATGTGCGTGCAGTAGATAGCTCAGATTACATTGGGAAAACAGGAGACCGCTGCAATTTGCGCTTTAATGTTTGGCTGCTCAACTGTATGGTATGGAAACCTTATTTACCTGCTAGATGAACCCGTCTCATACAGCTGCCATTGCAAGGCTCAGACACTTTGTAGAGAGGAATTTAACACAACTGCCTCTAGGAGTCGCCAATGGAAATAAAACAGATACGCACAAAAAAATGTGCGTACGCCTGCCAGAAAGCTGCCGTGAAGCTGCGCACATTCCCACGTTCAGTTCATTGTTAGTAAATCCAAACGTGAGCGATTCTGAGCGTGAAACCTGGCATACGCAAAGTTTTTGTGCGTACGCAGTGTTGATACATGAGGCCCCAGGTCTGGAATGTTTAGCTTAGCACAAATCATTGAATCAGATTAGACCATTAGCATGTCTCTGAAAAAAAACCTATTTCAATAATTATCCTATTTAGGTTGACTCTTCTGTAGTTACATCGTGTACTACGACTGATGGAAAGTGAAAAGTTGTTATTTTCTAGGTTAATATGGCTTGGAACTAAGGCTGCACAATATATCATGTCAACATCGATATTGACATCTGCAATAGTCACTTCGCAGTATGTTTAATGTTAAGTTTATATACCAGGACTTTAGTTGACCAACACAACAGATCAAAACTACAGGGATTTGTGCAGTCACCTCAAAGCTGAGTCCCTAATCTTGGTTTTTAAATCTTGGTTATTAAAGGGGATCACCCCTTTAATATGAGAAATAGTTCACTCTGGTCTGTATTGTAAACAACGTTAATAAATAAAATAATAGATAATATACACTAACTGACAAAAGTTTATTCGCCTATCCAAGTTTTAGGTACAACAAATAATAACGTGACTTCTATTTAATCATTTGGTATCAGAAGTGGCTCATATGACAGGCGAAGGCCTCCAGATTATACTTATTTTATCAATTAAAATTTGATCATGCCTTGATTTTTTTATTATTTAGTTAGGACAGTAAAGTCTGACTGTGCTTACAAAAAAGTCTTGTCACTTAACAGAAATAATGTCCAGTATAGAATATAAAGTCATGCTGCAGTGGAAAAAGAATTAATATTGTGGGAGGACTGCATCCATACATCTCTGCAATGACTCAGATCACTTATTAATAAAGTCATATGGAATGGCAAAGAAAGCGTTCTTGCAGGACTCCCAGAGTTCATCAAGATTCTTTGGATTCATCTTCAATGCCTCCTCCTTCAACTTACCGCAGACATGCTCAATAATGTTCATGTCTGGTGACTGGGCTGGCCAATCCTCCACTCTGCAGATCTCTTGCAGGCCCCCAAACTGAATGTAATCCCAAACCATGATTTTTTTCTTCAGCAGACTTGACTGATTTCTGTGAGAATCTTGGGTCTATGCCAGTTCCAGTAGGTCTTCTGCAGTATTGTGATGATTGGGATGCAGTTCAACAGATGATCTACCTTCTGCCAGTTTTCCAAATCATCACTAGAAGTCAAGTTATTATATGTTACTCTTACGACTGGGATAGATGACTAGACTTTTGTCAGGGAGTGTAGATATACATCGACCAACCCTATAATGGTTGTAAATGCATAATCACACTAATCAGTCTATGCAAGAAAAATAATAATTCAAAAGTCTGAAACCTCAAACCTAGAGCACAGAAAGACATCGTAAGCGTTCACAAGACTGTTGTCTCGTAAAATGGCTGTTTGTCTGAACTGAAAGTTTACTGAAAGTAAAGTCAAATTAGATGCATAGTTTGAATAGTTTCACCTACAGTAACGTCTGAAATAGCGAATCTGAGAACACTGTAGGTCAGAATACACTAAATATTCCTCAAAACACAGAAAACCTAAATGCATTTTATTAATAAACTAGATGTATTTTAAATAAATACATAAATGACTGAAGCAATTATTACACGTAAATTTGACCCTCCTGATCGTCAATGTATAATTCGCACACTGCATGAGGGTGATAATTAATAACGTAAATTTCCATTTAGGTTGAACCAACACACTTGGTTCTACATCGAGCAACCGAAACACAATAAACGCTGGTCTTTTCAGAAGGAATTAGTCTGTAAATCACATCCATAAACTGTGGACTTGGTGCAAATATTTCGTAGGTTGTTTGATTTGAACAGGCCAAAACCTGCAGATTGAAAATTGACAGTGAACCCTTCTTTGTTTGCGTTTAGGTGACAAGCATGGTAAGTACGAGTTTCTCAGCGCTCTTGACTGTGCTTCTACATATCGCCGTGGCAGTATAGCAGCTGCTGAACACCTGCTTGAGCTCTGGCCTCTCTGGCTCTCTCTAAGCCAGCTCTCGCTCGCTCATACGTGAGCCGCCGCTCCCAGCATGCTCACCCTCAACTTGTGCCCACTTTTCACCGTCTTTTCAATGCAGATCCGCTCCATTCACTGCCTATTTGGTATGTTCGGTGCCAGGGTTCACATCCTGACAAGATCGTGCGCTATACAATCTGCCATCTGAATGCATATTTAGGCATAAACACTTTAGCTCAGTTAATTAAATGACCTGTTTTTAGAAATGCATCTATGCAGAGGCATTCCTTTAGTTATTAAACTCCTATATATTCAAATACATTTAGGGAAAATAACAAGGAGGATGTTTAAAGAAAGCGATATCCTTCAGGCCCTTTTCTTTCTGAACTGTTTCAGGTTCAGTTCGGTGACCTTGATGGATGCTTTTAGAACGAGAGCATTACACACAGCAGGAAAAAAAGAGGAAAGTTTTAGTATTAGTTAACCCTTGTTCCTGACGGATACAATGCACTTTATTAGAAATGTAGGCGCTGCGGGATAATATATAACATCAATGTCACTTCTCATTGGATTTGGTTTTCTTTCAGCCCCGGCGCTCAATATTAAACATTATCATCTTCCATCCTCGACACTGGAGGCTTTCACTCTTTTCAGGCTTCTCTTTCGTCTATAATGCTTGCACATTCCTCTTAAGATCAACGGCTTTATAGCTCTGAAGAATCTTTTAACATGCTTTCTGTATGTGGATCTTTGTGTTGGAGCGAGTGGGCTGCTTCATTGTCCCCTGTTTTGTGTTCAGTGCAGGGGGTGACGGTTTCCAATGTCTCATGGTTCGATTTGTATCACGGTCACCGTTTCGAATCAGTATATAGAAATATTTTGTATTATCTTTGTGATGACTGCTAATTAAGATCCCTAAATCGCAAATATTCACTCTCAGTGTCATTACAGGTTAATATGATATGGATGTTATTGCTGTCATTGCGGTAAATGGCACTGAGTTCAACAAAATGTTTTATGGCTTCATTTTAGCATGTGTTTTTTCCTTCAATGTCAAGCGTGTCTTTAGAAATCAATATGATATGCTGATTTATTGCTCAAGAAACATTTCTTATTGTTGTCGATGCTGAATTGTGCGCAATTTGTTTTTGTGGAAAGCATGATCCATCGCCATTCAAAAGTTTCGCTTTTTAAGTCAGCAAGGACACGTTAAATAGATCAAAAGTGACAGTAATGACATATATAGTGTTAAAAAAGGTATTTCAAACTTCCAGTCAGGGATAGTTCACACAAAAATGAAAATGGTGTAATCATTTCCTGACCTTACAACTGCTGAGTTCCTTTCTTCTGTTAAACGCAAAAGACGATATTTCGAAGAATGTTGGAAACCAGTAACCATTGATTTCCATAGTATTTGTTTAAAGTAAGTCAGTGGTTACAGGATTTTGTGTTCAACATAATAACTCATATATGTTTGGAACCACTTGGTTTCTGGGTGAGCTATCCCTTTAAGCAGCTAACAAATTATAAGTGGTTGTTAATAAATCATTATTATTATGATTAAAAATAGTACCAGGGAGTCCACAGGGTTTTATAAAGTCTTAAATTTCCAAAAACATATTTTTAGGCTTTAAAAGGTTTTAAATTCACTGAAATAGTGTGTTGTAGGTCTTAAATCATTTTAAAAAAGGTGTTAATTTTCCTTATTATCCAAGTACAGTTACCCAATCAGGCTGACACTCACCAAATCTCCAACCATTTTTGTTATTGCAAAAAAATACAATCACAACAGCCGTCAGACATTTTTTCTGAAAATTATTTACATTATGAAAATGAATGAATGAATGAATGAAATAATAAATGAATGAATAAACAAATAAAAAAGAAACATTATGTTAAAAAATGATTAAATATGTGGCTAACAATTATCTATTTTTTTAATTTTATTTATATTATTTTATTGTGGAAAGCAAAAAATAAACTATTGGCCGAAAATATCCTTAGTGAGGTCACAAGAATAAGCCTAATGCTGTGTTCACACCAGACGCGGAACGCGCAGATAAATCGCGCTATTCACGCGTAAATAGCCGCGTGAACATTTGAGTTTACCCGCTTCATTCGCGCGTCAAACCCCGCTTCATTCGCGTGTCAAATTCACTTCAGAACAGACGTGGATTCGCTTGATGGGCAGGGCTTCTGTCTGCCCGAAGACTATAGCTTCTTAGCTAAATGGCTAACATGGATTTTATGAAGAAAATAACAGTGTTTATGTGCTTTATGAAGACTGAAAAACAGCGTCGATACGTTTAGGGTTATGTCTGAGTCCACTACATTCTTTCAGAGGTGCATCCAGCTCTGTGAGCTCATAAACGCCTCCAGAAACTTAACCTGGATGACGGAGGCTTTCAGAGGTGCTTCTAACTGAGCCAAGCCGAGTTTGATGAACTGTTGTCGGTGAAGGCTAGAGGATTTCCCTCGGAACACCAACAACAGGTTTTATGTCACAATCACGCCCCCACAAGAGCAAGCTTCTGATTGGTTAACGCGGCGCGAATGTATGCTGAAGTTCAGATTTTCAAAATTGAGAGATTTGCGCGAAACGCTCGTTATGCGCGTCAAACGAACAAAACGCTCAATTCGCCCTGCGCCATTCGCACAATTTGCGTCATTCGCTCCGCGCCATTCGCATGTATCGCGCCGCAGGATGTCTATTCGTGCGTTTGCATTGACTTAACATGTAAATCACTTGTGCTTGACGCGCGTTCCGCATCTGGTATGAACGCAGCATTAGAATCTGAAAATTTCACTGACCAAAGAAGATGTCCCAAGAAGCACTCCGCAGATTCACAGTCAGAGGAAATGAAGGGGTAGAATTTGTTAAGCTTAACACTTAGATGTACTAATGGAGCTAATGTACTACTTTAAATTGGATTAGTTGGTTTCTTGAGTTAATAGAAGATGAATTTATGACCTTGATAGAATCTTTTCAGTGGTTATTGGCAATCTGAATGCCTAAATCTTTCGTCAAGGAATTTTTCAAATACAAGGTAGACCAGTAAATACATCTTTAAAATGGGAAATCAAATTGGATTCATCAGGCGTGTCATGATGGTCTAAAAAGCGTCCTAAATTTGACTTGATGAATCCTGCATAAACCCTGAGTACTTTATTCCAAACTTTCTAGTGATAAAACGTGCTACAAACACATGTGCTGAACCGTGTTACAGAAACCCTTCAACCCCTGACTCACTGTGTCCGTATGTTTTCTGAGTCCTGATTCATTCTGTAAATGCTATTGAAGGATCAGAGCGTGAAGGACAAAGCTCTTCAGACTATGGCCTCCATGTCCTCTGCCCAGATCGTTTCTGCCACCGCCATCCACAACAAGCTGGGACTTCCAGGCATCCCGCGTCCTGCCTTCCCAGGAGCCGCAGGGGTAAGACCGGCCTCTGGCACCCAGCTATCAGTACACTTTACTTCATCCACACGGCTGGCCACCGGGCCGCTTGAGCCAGCTCCAATCCCATTACACACGCCCTGTCACCTGCCTTCATCAGATAAGCCACACTAATGCCACACTCAAGATAACTAGAGCGCATGGCACATCATACACCTCGTTTTTTTTTGTTTTTTTTTGCAATGGCAATGTGATAAACCATGTATCAAAAGTGTGCAGATGCCATGTGTGTATGTGGATAGCCGCTGTTTTCTTTGTCTATTTATTTGTCCAATTCTCTAGTTTTGGCAGGGCATGATACCGACAGGCCAGCCTGGATCCTCCCAAGAGTGAGTATCTCGAGCAAACTTCTGCTTCCATTCCACCTTTTTTTCAACCTATTTTCTGCACTTATTTCACCTTTTTCTTGGTTTTTGCACTTTTTTCTGCACCCCTTCATGTTATTTATTCTTCTTTTTGTCCTTACATTTGCAATTTTCTTCTACTTCTTCAGCACTTGTTTTGTGCAACTCTTGTAAAATATCTCTGTATCTTCTTTTCCAGCTTCTGCAGATTTGCAGCTTCACCTTTAACTTTCTTCTCACTTTCTCCTGTTTTCCTAATGCAATTTTATTTATTTATTTATTTTACTAACTTTCTTTATTGTTTTTTAACCTTCAAACACATTGACCTACAAATTTGGCCCAACAAACACTTACACAACAATTAATAATAAGAGATACAATATACGACCAATGCATAAGAAAGTAAAATAGTAATACATAAATACAATTAGCAAATAATAAAACAAAATAATAAATACAACAAAAAAAATACTGACCTTCAGTTTTAATCTAAATGAGTCTTACTGAGTTATTGGTGTGTTTTGAGCTGAGTGTGCATTAAGCCATTTAGAGTCTCATCTCTCATTCCCTTCAGAGTCAGTTGCGTCACAACATGGCGCATTTGCTATTTACATAGCAGACTTTGTAAGTAGAAAAACTAAATGCTTTACTAGTGAGAAAATAGTTAAACAGACCATCTGCAGCGTGAAGATAAAGAACGAGCCTCTTCCATTTGGCCTCTTTACTTTCTCTTTACTTTTACTCTTTTCTTTACTCCTTTACTTTTGTAGAAGAGGAAACGGAGGAAACTCACTCTACTGAAGACATCTATTAGCCAACATATTTAATTTTCTTTGTTAAGCGCAAAGATTTGTTTCAAAACTATTTCTAAATTCTGTTCTAATTTCCAGCAAACTAATAAAAGAACAATAATAACAACGAAGTGTAGTCAAACAACTAAGTTATATCCAAACACACGTCCTATTCTTATGCCCCATATGTTGATGCAGACATCAGTAAAACTAAACAAATCTAAACTTGTTTTTATTCAAACAAATATTAATATGCATGTAATAAATACTACTGCTAATAACAAAAACTTTAATAAACTGAAAAAAGCCCCCTGATATAAAGACATGGGGTGTAGCAGTTTTTTAATGTAAAAGATAATAATATTTGTAAAATTTTAATACTTTATTATTTTTCATATGTAAAGATTTTTGTGTATTGCTGTACATCCTGTTTGTATTAAGCAATATGTAAGAGATTTGGACCTGCAAAAGTGCATAACTTATGTGCTCTGCACATATCAATGCACCAACAATGCGGCAATTATTAAGTGTAAAAAAATTGTTAAATCTATAATTAAACTTTTAAATAACCACTTTTTTATTGTATGTAGTTTTAAATGAAATTATTACTTCAGTCATTATTGCTTTTATTACTATCACCAATAATAATATTAATAATGATATCTGAAGGATTATGTGACTCTGAAAACTAGAGTAATGAAGATGAAAATGAATCTTTAAAATAACTGGAATAAATGATTAATTAAATGATAAACTTACCTTTATTTTTTAGTGCAATAACATTTCATAATTGTACAATTTGTGCTGTATTTTGATAAAATAAATTCAGAAGAAGCTTATTTAAAATATATAAAATATATAATATATAAAATTATATAACAATCCTACTGACCCTAAATTTTAAACTGGTAGTGTACAGTTGAAGTCAGAATTATTAGCCCCCCTTTTTAATCTTTCCCCAATTTCTGTTTAACCGAGAGAAGATTTTTTAACACATTTCTAAACATAATAGTTTTAACAATCCATTTCTAATAACTGATTTGTTTTATCTTTGCCATGATGACAGTACATTATATTTTACTGAATATTTATAGACACTTCTATACAGCTTAAAGTGACATTTAAAGGCTTAACTAGGTAAATTGGGTTAACTAGGCAGGTTAGGGTAATTAGGCAAGTTATTGTATAACAATGGTTTGTTCTGTAGACTATCAGGAAAAAAATAGCTTTAAAGGCTAATAATTTTGACCTTAAAATGGCTTTTAAAGAATTAAAAACTGCTTTTATACTAGCCAAAATAAAACAAATAAGACTTTCTCCAGAAGAAAAAATATTATTAGATATACTTTGAAAATTTCCTTGCTCTGTTAAACATAATTTAGGAAATATTTAAATAAGAAGAAAAAAATCAAAGGGGGGCTAATAATTCTGACTTCATTTGTATGTCTCTCGTTCACCTTCTTTACCTGAGTTTCCACATTATAGTGCAACGTTATCTCAGCCTTCCCATAATTTCTGCAGCTATTTTCTTACCTTTCCCCCTTTGTACAACAATATAGCTTTCATATTTACAATTTAATGCCTATGCATACTTTATCACTGAATAATTATACATTTATAATTTCTACAATGTATATACATTTTACATATTTATAGTAAGTTATTTATGTAGAGTAAAAATGACAAAAATCATACAGTAAATATAATACAGCTTGAAGCTTAGTGCACACTACAAATCAAGTTCCTTATTCAGCAACTACTCAAAAATGTAGCAGTATCCAGTGCAATTCAAATCCAGGAGGGGAGCAAGCTGGTGTGAAACCAACATTTGTAACTCTCCTTTATTTTTTGTTTATTTATTTATTTATTTTTTTGCTGAGAGTGGCTTGACGACAGACTGATTCAGCAATATTTTGCATTGAACTAAATTTAAAGCCTAAATTTTTTTGGTTCTTTTCCTGCCTGGCAAGAACAGGTATTTCCTTCAGGAAATGCAAACCTTGATTCCCTCACTCTCTGTTCTGTCTGCTGTGTTGTCATTCTCCTTTTCCCGATGTCTATATTTTCCTCGACCCTTTCAGTTTTTTCTCATTCCCTTAGAGGGATCATAGATAAAGCAAGCCTTTCCAGAATGGAGGAAGGGAGGAAGGGGGGGGGGGGTGAATCCATGTTTGAATGCTTTGTGCAGCTTTGTTTCTTCTTTGCTGTGTAACCCTCTTAATCTCTTCAGTATGTAGTGCTTCTTTCCCCAGTCTTAATTCTCCTTTGTCTTTGTTTTAGCATCAAGCCATTTGCTCAGCAAGCGTACCCCATCCAGCCAGCAGTCACAACTACAATCTCAAGTATGTGGGGTTTCCATTGCCATGTCTTTGTTCGCATTCAGATTTATGCCGTCTGTTGTTTAGAAGAGCTAATATTTAAGCCTCCTGTTGATTTACGGATCAAAAATGACACAGGCACCATTTAAACAGGTGAAAAAAAAAACTAAACAATAGCCATGTATCCATTCAAATATGCGAATAAATGTATGCGCAAAACTGGAATTTACATCAAGTATTTGCAAATAAAGCAATTGTTCTATGTAACTAGTCCAAGGCCCCGTTTACACTTTCAGGTCTTGATGGCCAATTCTGATTTGTTGCCTATATCTGATTGTTTTTCCTGTCCGTTCACATGTTCTTTTAATTGTGACCCATATCTGATTCATGTGTTTACACTTGCCATGCAATTTACGACGTTGCACATGCGTAAACGCGAGTTCTAGCATCTGCGCCCCACTAGACACAATGGAAGAAGTCAACCAAAGCTCATTCTGAAAATGTAGCCCCGCGGATGTTTCTGGAGACCGCGATTTACGTGGCCAGAGGTACATATGGCCGCATTTAGTTTCTTCAAGCGAACACTGTGGGGTGGTGTGACACCGCTCCTCTTCACACTCGCCGGCTGGGCTGATGGCTCAGCTCCTTCATGTGGAGGGCTTTCCCGCCGCAACCAGTTTGTCCGGTTAGCTCGTCGAGTTACATTGGCGGAGCGGAGGCCCGGAGGAGGAGAAGGAGCCGGCAGCGTTCGACGAGGAAGAGCGGTTCGATAAATCAGGTTAGACAAAAAACAGAATCCAAACAATAAAGCGAACGAGTTCGTAACGGGGCGAAATCCGAAAACGTGGTCAAAATTGGACGAGGGCTTTTCTTTTTCTGCACGTCTTTCGTAAATCATCGCTTGGGTTTAGGGAAGAAGGAAGAGGAAGAGAAGGAGGATGGCCGGGTTGGCCAATTGGCCGGCCACCCAGTCAATCGTTCAGTCATTCAGCCAGTCGGTCAGTCGGTGGCCTGTGGCGGCTTTTTAAGCGAGAACAGCGCGGGCGCGAACGACACGCACTCGCGAGAGGCGTTTGAGATGCGAAAAAGCGAGCACAGCGACCTCTCGTAGATTCGCGAAAACAAAAACTGCACAAATACGTTCCTCCCGGGAAATATTTTGCGGCCTCCAGAAACGTCCGCGGAGCTACGTTTCCAGAATGAGCCTTGCTTGGAAGAAGTTATCTTGCTTTTAGTTCTGTGAAATATGCGAAGATCGCTCGACTATAAAATGATTTTGAAGCAGAGGAGGAGGAAAAGGGCCGTCATCGCAGCTTGTATCTATGGTTTATATATGGTGTCCTCCACCGTTTAGAGGGATTTGTGGGTACAAAAGAGATCTCAGGTCTGGTGGGAGCAAATTTGGCAACTGACCACTTTCTTTCTCCATGTTTCCTGTTGTTGCATCTGCGTCGGCATCTCCACACACGCTTTTCCTTCTATGTCATTAAACCGCAGAGAAGCACCACATTGTCGCAAGTTTAATGACGTACAAAACAGAACGCCTCACTAAATCCGATCTGCCTGTTTACATGATAGTCGCATTGTCACATATACGATTTATATCTGATTTACTTCCATATATGAAGGAGGTCTAAAACCTCTGAATATCCGAATGCGTGCATTTTTTTTTTCGTGTTTACATGGTCATAGAACAAATTCGTTCTGTCTCACATATGAGCAAAAAATTTAAATTGGGTGACATTTAACTGGCAGTGTAAACGGGGCCCAAGAGAACTAAATTGTCACTTCCTGATAATCTGGCTTCAAATATCAAAGAAAAATGGAAGTTGCTGCATTAGGAGAAGGCTTTTTTTTTTCATATATAATAACTTATTGAGTCTTAGAACACGTAGAGGAAACGCAGTGTGCACAGTCATGTCATCTTGCTTTTGGAGGCAGCAAACAACTCTTTGGGAATGCTCTCAGTCTTGGAAGATTTGCGCAATCCACTGATGTTTTCCATCAAGGATGGTCGTCACTTCTTTCTCTTGTATAACATTCTGAAAATAATCACACCTCACCGTCCACCCAAAAATACCTGTCACTTTCTGACATTTTTGTTAACGCATGATCTGTCAAAATCAAATCACATGACTTTTTTGATGCGCACGTTGGAATTTATTCAGTAATTGCATTTCCTTCATAGTTTATGCACATTTTTTCTTATTGGATAAAAAGTTTATCCTACTCAGAATGTTTTTAATGCACATTTTCAAAATGTATGCGCATCTTGGGGTTTCCACTAGGGTTTTTAATGTGATATTACAAAATGTGCATTAAAATAGGTGAATGGAAAGGTTTTTTTATTTTGAAGTTTGGTGACGTTTTTTTTATTTTTTAAAGACCCCAACATTAAACAAATATATATAATTTTAAATTTTCATATTTTCATGAAGGCTGTACACATATAGGGTACAGTTATGGTTAGGTTATGATTCTCCTTCAGGTCAATTTTGAGCTATAAATCAATTTTTTACACCACAAAAACTACTGACACACACTGGCGTGCACACATTCACACTCCAAAACACACACACAGACGATTCGACTCTACTGCTTTAACTTTTATAAATACTGTCTTGTTAAAATATTATTTTTTAATTACAATTTTAAAATTGTAAAATTGTTAATTTTAATTATTTTAAATTTTTAAAAATACCTTTGCGGGTATTTTTAGCATTAGAAACCTACCTAAACATTAATTTACTTAAGTCAAATTTAACTGATTAAAAAATGGCAAAAAATGCTTAAAATTCTTAAATTAAGGAGCAATTTTCAAAAAGTAAAGCATATTGTCTTGTTTTAAGTAATAAGAAGCCAAAATTAAGTAGGTTTTTCCTTAAAACAGGCTAAATAATATGCCAATCGTGTAAGCAAAATAATCAAAATTTTCCTTTTCACATACAGTTGAAGTCAGAATTAGTAGCCCCCCTGAATTATTTGCACTCCTGTTTATTTTTTTTCCCCAATTTCTGTTTAATGGAGGGAAGATTGTTTCAGCACATTTCTAAGCATAATAGTTTTAATAACTTATTTTTTTAATAACTGATTTATTTTATCTTTGCCATAATGACAGTAAATAATATTTTACTTGATATTTTTCAAGACACTTCTATACAGCTTAAAGTGACATGTAAAGGATGAACTAGGTTAATAAGGTGAACTAGGCAGGTTAGGGTAATTAGGCAAGTTATTGTATAATGATGGTTTGTTCTGTAGACTATCGGGAAAAAATAGCTTAAAGGGGCTAATAATTTTGTCCTTAAAATGGTGTTTAAAAAAATAACAACTGCTTTTATTCTAGCCGAAATAAAACAAATAAAACACCGCGAAATAAAACTTTCTCCAGAAGAAAAAATATTATCAGACATACTGTGAAAATTTCCTTGCTCTGTTAAAAATAAATTGGGAATTATTTAAAAATAAATAAATAAATAAAAAGGGGGGCTAATAATTCTGACTTCAACTGTAAGTTTATTTTGCTTAACCCATTGGCAGATTATTTTTGTTGTTTTAGGGAAAAATTCCCCTAATTTTGATATATTAATTCCATTCTATTAATATTAATATTTTCCTTGTCTAAAAATGCTTCTTGATTTAAGATTTTTGAGATATTTTGTTATATTGCAGTGCATTGATGAAATACCCCACTCTGATGAGAGAAAACCCAGACATTCTCAGAACTTGTGTTGAAGATGAGTTTATTTCCTCATGTAAAATAGATTTGAGGATTGAAATTATATGTAGCTGATTTACTTTAAAGTCAGAGTGAAATCGAAATGTACTTTATTTTGTTATTCTAAAGGTAAATAATTAATCCATACCAAGTAATTCACTGAAAAGAAGTGTTTGTTTTGGTAATCTTCAATGAACGTCTGACCATTTGTTTTCACCTTTGGATTGGCAGTCCTCCTGTTAACTTTAACCTCAGGGTTTCCATAGCAAACGCATACTAATACCCTTCTTACCATTTAGGGAATGATGCAAAAAAAGAAAGCCCCACCCCCTACTCAATGCTCCTTCTCATCAACATACTGAAATAAAAGTCTCTGCAACTTCCAGCTCACGCTGACTTTGAAGGTTTAGAAAGAACTTTTAAGACAACAATGGGATAATTTATATGTGTGTGTGTGTGTGTGTGTTCATGTGTAGGTTATGAGCCTCCGACAGCGCCGGCGCCCACAGTTCCTGCCTGGCAAGGCCGATCCATTGGCACATCTAAACTCAGACTGGTGGAGTTCTCTGCTTTTCTTGAGCACCAGAGAGATCCTGATTCTGTGAGTAGCTTCTGCTTGTCAAAGGGAAATCATAATGGAGACGCTTTACTCGTAACATTCTTGGTCTCGATTCACGATCGACCTTCAGCCTCTGAGTCAAAAGGCAGCCTTAAAAGTGATTGTTTTCAGAAAGGAGTCCTCTAGTATTGACTGAAAATGTCCAATCTCGTATGAAGTCTGGAATGCAACGTCTGCTTTTTACGGTGCTGTCTATTCCTGAAAAATATTGAATGCTTTAGTTAATAGTTTTAATAACTAATTTCTAATAACTGATTTTTTTATCTTTGTATAACAGGACAGTATTTCATTCATTCATTCATTTTCCTTCAGCTTAGTCCCTTTATTCATCAGGGCTCTCCACAGTGGAATAAACCGCCAACTTATCCAGCATATGTTTTACACATCGGATGCCCTTTCAGCTGCATTCCAGTACTGGGAAATATCCATAAACACTCATTTACACACATACACTACGACCAATTTAGTTTATTCAATTTACCTATAGCGCATGTCTTTGGACTGTGGGGGAAACCGGAGCACCCGGAGGAAACCCACGCGGACACAGGGGTAATAAACATGTACTTGCTGTTATTTTGATACGTTTGTCAGTGTCTAACATGTTCTTTGTTGTTGTTTTTCAGTATAACAAGCATCTTTTTGTGCACATCGGTCAGACAAATCATTCTTACAATGATGCCCTGCTGGAGTCTGTGGACATTCGTCAGATTTACGACAAATTCCCTGAGAAAAAAGGAGGGCTGAAGGAATTGTTCGGCAAGGGTCCTCAGAATTCATTCTTTCTCATAAAGTTCTGGGTGAGTGAATCTCTGCTAAGAGCTAGCATCTGTTCAGCTGTTCACAACCTCCTCCTTGAGACAGGCCAATTATCTACACACACACACACACACACACACACACACACACACACAAAGAAATAAGAATAAAACAGACTGAACACAATTAGTGCAGGAAGAACTTTATTTTTTTATTATTTAAGCTTAAAAATAAATTTAAATGAAGGAAGAAACTTGATTTTTTTTCACAGTATTTTTTACAATATTATTTCTTCTGGAGGAAGTTGTATATTTGTTTGTTTTGCTGGAATAAAGGCAGTTTTTACATTTTTTATTCGGTATTATTAGGCCTAAAATTATATATATATATATATATATATATATATATATAGGCTATATATTGACTGGCTACAAAACAATCCACAGGCTTCAGGGTGGACTTTTTTTTATTCCTTTTACAAAATACTTAACTTCAATGAATGCATGATTCTTTGTTGAACTGTAAAACTGGCTATGAAACACTTGATAATGCTTTGAAGTTGATCATTTTTCTTGGGAAGTTTCACATACACAAGGCAAAAGTAATGTCTATTGTGCTCTCTTTAAAATTGTCTGTAAAGATTTTTAAATATTTCATAATTCTTTGACCTTACAAGAAATAAGAAGCCTATAAAATAATGGTCTCAAACTCAATCCCTGGAGGGCCACAGATCTGCAGATTTTAGCTTCAACCACCTCCAAATCACACCTGCTTAATGGTCTGTAATCGTCTTGAACAATCTAAATATTTGGATCAGATGTGTTTGATTAGGGTTGGAGCAAAACTGCAGAGCTGCGGCCCTCCGGGAATTAGGTTTGAGACCCATGCTATAAAACATCTCTCATTATGAAAAATGATCTGTACAATTAAATAAAAAAATATATAAATGATAAATCTGCCCCCCTATTTTTTATTTTGTTTTAGTTATTTTAGTTTTCATGCATGTTTTATATCACTTGCTTATTTCTATATGACTGTTATATATGTCAACAATGCTGTATGCTTTTCAGTATGTTTATATACTTGACAAAAGTGTTGACGTCTATCCAAGTTTTAGGAACAACAAATAATAACTTGACGTGTATTTGATTATTTGGTTTCAGAAGTAGCTTATATGAAAGGCAAAGGCCTCTAGATTTCGCTTATTTCAGCTAAATAAAACGTGATCATGCTTTGATTTATAATTATTTAATTAGGACAGTAAGGTCTGACTTTGCTTAGACAAAAGTCACTTAACAGAAATAATGTACAGTATAGAATATAAAGTCATGCTGCAGTGGAAAAAGAAGGAATAATTGTGTCTGACTCCCATGAGCTGGGAGGACTGCATCCATACATCTCTGCAATGACTCAAATAACTCATTAATAAAGTCATCTGGAATGCCAAAGAAAGCGTTCTTGCGGGACTCCCAGAGTTCATCAAGATTCTTTGGATTCATCTTCAATGCCTCCTCCGTCTTACCCCACACATGCTCAATAATGTTCATGTCTGGTGACTGGACTTGCCAATCCTGGAGCACCTTGACCTTCTTTGCTTTCAGGAACTTTGATGCAGAGGCTGAAGTATGAGATGGAGTGCGATCCTGCTGAAGAATTTGCCCTCTCCTGTGCTTTGTAATGTAATGGGCAGCACAAATGTATTGATACCTCAGGCTGGTGATGTTCCCATCCACTCTGCAGATCTCTCACACGCCCTCATGCTGAATGTAACCACAAACCATGATTCAGTAGGTATTCTGCAGTATTTGTGATGATTGGGATGCAGTTCAACAGATGATTCTGCCGCTTTTCAAAATGAACAACTAGAAGTTATTATTGTTGCTTTTACAACTGGGATCGATTACAACAGTCCACTGTCGTCTAATGACTTGCCTAGTTAACCTAATTACCTAGATAAATTACACTTTAAGCTGAATACTAGTATCTTGTAAAGTACAGGGTTCATACGGTCATGGAAAACCTGGAAAAGTCATGGAATTTTAACATGGCATTTTCCAGGCCTGGAAAAAGTTTTGAAAAAACAGAAAAACCCACAAAGTTTTTAAAAAGTCTTGAAAAACAGATATCTGCATGCTTGAAGATAGGTTATTTACTTCTTTTTTCTTTTTCTATTTTCTAGATTTTCTTTTACCATGCATATGTAGACATTGCATGAAACATAGGGTCATAAAAAACTTACTTGAATGTTTTAGAAAAATCATGGAAAAGTCATGGAATTTTAGTTGTAAAAATGTGTATGAACCCTGAAAGTAACTAGCAACATGTTATATATTAAAGACGAAAGAAATGAGTTTTTAAAATGTTTAAAAACATGTAGAAAAAAACAGGATTTGTGAAATATTATCAAAAAGTATTGAAATGTCACAGGCTGGCTAATAATTATACATTCAACTGTAATTGTCGTGTGTAATGTGCGTCCAAGCTTCAACACTAATGAGAGCAAAATGACCGCAGTTCATGTTTGCCACCCATACAACTGCCTATTTAAGGCAAATATTTATCCACTGGGCGATTACATGCATGAATAATTGTGCGTTTCCCCAAGACACTGGGCCACTTAAAGACAAGTTTTAAAGACAAACAGCGCTGTTTGCATGTCCAGACCGCCGCTATATTTGCCCCAGCATAGCTGAAGAGTCCATGATCAAAGCTCGCACTTATTCCGTTTAATACCGCTAAAACAATTGGATGACCCGGTTGCTCCTCTAATAGCTATTCAAACATTGCATGCATTTTGTGAAATGCTAACTAGCGGCGGCCAACAAAGTGGGCCGCGTTCGTGGTCGGAGCGAAGCTGCTCAGATTCCGTTTGAAGTGACGGCGGGATCTGAATTTCAAATGAAACTCTGGATCTGCACAATAATGCCTCTCTTGAATATGATGTGAAAATGTACCAGGCCTCGTCTTAATGAAAAGAGAGTATGCCAGAAATGAATATTTGAGCTTTCTCGGTAATGAACATCGTGTTAGCTTGCTGAAAGAGCGGAGAGCAGGCTGTTCTTTTTTTCCGCTCTTCTACTGATTTTCTTTTCTCTTTTTTTTTTTTTTTTTTGAGTGGCTTTATACTCTGAGTTATTTAATCTATTCTTTCCAACCTTAGACACACTCGTTTTCTTTAGTACTTAAATAGACTGATATGGAGAAAGAGCCTTGATTGGTGGTTTAGTGTTAAGATAATGGGATACTAAAGGGATTGTTCAACTATTAACGAACATACAGTTGAAGTCAAAATGATTAGCTCTTCTTTTCCAAATGATGTTCAACAGAGCAAGTAATCTTTAACAGTATTTCCTATAATATTATTTCTTCTAGAGAAAGTCTGGTAACACTTTATAATAACTACACACGATAAGTGTTAACTGTACTTTAATAAACATTAGTAAGCAGTTTATAAATGCAGCTACAAAGGCTGTGTTCTTGACTTATAACCACATTTATAATGTGCTTAATAGTTGTACTTTCATACTTGGTATTGCCCTTTCAGCCGCAACCCATCTCTGGAAAACATCTACACGCACTCTTTCACACACACACACTCATACACTACGGACAATTTAGCCTAGCCAATTCACCTGCACCGCATGTCTTTGGAATGTGGGGGAAACCGGAGCACCCAGAGGAAACCCCCGCAAACTCTGGGAGAACATGCAAACTCCACATAGAAATGACATCTGACCCAGCCGAGGCTCGAACCAGTGATCTTCTTGCTGTGAGGCGACAGCACTACCTATTTCAATATTCTTTAAAATATCTTGGTATTTTGGTATAATCTACACCTCTCTGCCAAGTGTTTAGAACATAGGGCTGCTTGATTTTGGGAAAAATCATAATCACGATTATTTTGGTCATAATTGTAATCACGATTATTCAAAACGATTATCTGTTGGATAATGAGGGAAAGATCGTCAATAATGGGCAGAGCTTTCCACCTCTGATGACTAGTACAAAAGGGAGAATGTCAATCAAAGTGTTTCTGTAGACCGTTTTTATCAAGTTTGCCTATAAAAGACAAAACTAATTTATTTTTACCATTAGAAGCTGTTTAAATTCACAGTCTGTTGCCACATAACTGTGTTTAAGCCCCTTATAAAAGTGATTTTTGGATAAAAGGTGCGCTTTAATCTTTAAGTTTGATCTTGAAAGTCTCCACTAGATGGCGGTTGTGTTGTAAATGGTGTATACTGCTGGTTCTGTTCTGTTCTTGGTTCTGATGCAGGTTTATTTTGTATGTAAGTGTTTGAAAACACTTTATACCTTCACATACTAAAAGCTGCAATCTCATTGGTTGATAGGCCGACTTGAACTGCAACATTCAGGATGAGACCGGAGCTTTCTATGGAGTGACCAGTCAGTATGAGAGCCCGGAGAACATGACCATCACCTGCTCCACAAAAGTGTGCTCGTTCGGCAAACAGGTGGTGGAGAAAGTGGAGGTAACTTCTAAGTTAAATACTATACCACACTGTAACAAATTGCTGTAAAATGTACAGTACAACTGGCAATTTTGGTTCCCAGTAATACATGTCCAAGTGCACTTGTGAATTGTGCTGAAAACTTCATTTACAATGCCCTTCAAATCTGCCCACTGGCCTCTGTCCATCCTCCTAACCATCCCCATATCATAATTGGCTTCATCACTTTGTCTCCTCTCCACCAATCAGCTGGTGTGTGGTGTGCAGTCTGGCAAGCCACACAAAAAATGTCTTAAATCTTAAAATGTATTAAATCTCCAAAACAAAATTTTAGGTCTTAAAAAGCCTTATTACGTTTATTAAATTATATATATTTTTGATAGGGCAAATCAAAATCTTTTGTAAAACTTCTTAGTGTTTAGGCCCTGTATGAGTCTAAAATTTCATTCATAATATTCTTTAAAAGTCTTAAATTTGACTTTGTGAAACCTGCAGAAACCCTTTTTAAACATTACTTGTATTTATTTATTTAAATATCTATTTAATATTAATGTAAATATTCCTTATTTTTAGCAGTTGTGCAATGTTTTAATTTTTAGCTAATTTTATAAAAAAATTATTGAATTTTATTTTATTATATATTTAATATTTTATTTTATTATTTTAATAAATATAAAATTTTTATTATATATTTTATTAAGTATATATATATATATATATATATATATATATATATATATATATATATATATATATATAAATATATAATATTTTATTTTTTATATTACATTTTAATTTTTTATATATTGCATTATATATTTTATTTTATTATATATTGTATTATATATTTTATTTTATTATATATTGTCTTATATATTGTATTTTTCATTATTTTATTTATTATTATATATTTATTTTTTATTTTATATATATATATATATTTAATTTATTTGAAATATTTTTTATTATATATTGTATTATATATTTTATTTTGTTTTATTGTATATTGTATTATATATTTTGTTTTTTATTATATTAAATTATATATATATATATATATATATATATATATATATATATATAAATATATATGTATATATATATATATATATATATATATATATATATATATATTAGATATATTATTTTGTTTTATTATATATTTTATTATATTATATTTTTTATTTTATTATATATTTAATTTTTTATTATATATTTTATTTTATTAATCTCTTCTTTTTATTTATTTTTTATTATATATATTTTTTATTAATCTCTTCTTGTCTATCCCCCCAGACGGAGTACGCTCGCTTCGAGAATGGCCGTTTTGTGTACCGAATAAGTCGGTCTCCCATGTGTGAATACATGATCAACTTCATCCACAAACTCAAACACCTGCCAGAGAAGTACATGATGAACAGCGTCCTGGAGAACTTCACCATCTTATTGGTGAGTCTGCATGTCCATCATTAATGATCCAACCAATCACTGAGCTCTCCAAGTGCAGGGAGACAAGCTAGCATTCCTGGGATTCCTGTGGCGCTGTGCAAAGCCTGATAATCTCTTGCTTTCTCCAACCCTCATACACACAGGGATTAGAGCCCTATTCACCCCTATAGCGAGGGTCTTACTAATGCACTTTCCCTGGGCTGTGACTCTCACCTGCGATGGGGGCTTTAGTTGTTGTTATTATAGTAAGACTGAGGGGAGACGTGTGTATATGTGTACTGTATGTGGATTTGAAGAGTGGAGGTGCTAGTATTAACAACAATCACAGGTGATCTGAGCACATACACGGCTAAATGCAGGTGTGAATAGGATCCAACATGTTGGAAATTGTTTAAAGCACTTTTTTGAATAGTAATGTGTGTTTGTGTCAAACACGTTGCTCAATGTATCATTGCAAAAAAACAGGGCTTTAAACATGGTCATTTAAAAGTATGGCTTTTCCAGACAACTGATGAAAATACATAAATAAATAAATAAATAATCCAAAAAACTATTTAAATATTCATTCATTCATTCATTTTCTTGTCGGCTTAGTCCCTTTATTAATCCGGGGTCGCCACAGCGGAATGAACCGCCAACTTATCCAGCACATTTTTATGCAACGGATGCCGCAACCCATCCCTGGGAAACACACACACACACATTTATGCACTACGGACAATTTAGCTTACCCAATTCACCTATACCACATATCTTTGGACTGTGGGGGAAACCAGAGCACCCGGAGGAAACCCATGCGAATGCAGGGAGAACATGCAAACTCCACACAGAAACACCAACTGAGCCGAGGATCTATATATACAATATACAAGACTTTATTAAAAAGACATCCAGAAGCAAAATAATTAAAGGAAATTGAGTAAATAGAAATGCCACTTAAGAATCTGGCTTTTTTACTGGCAAATTAACCCGGGTTTTGGTAAAAACCCAAACAATACAAACAAAAATAAAACAAAACAAAAAATCTAAAAAATGAGTTCTGTGTAATAACAATGAAATAACACAAGGAGAAAGTCCTGAACTGCTGAAACGTATTTAGTACTTCTTATAAAAGGCTTTTTTGGTGATGGCAACTTGAAGACGCCTCTGATGTGGAGAATGAAGTCACATGCATAGCTCAGGTGTGAGTTTTTCAGACTTCAACAAGTGTCAAAATCTTGATGGTTCTGTGGGTCTCATCTATCAAATAAGAGCTTTATTTTGTATTCTCTATTGGACTCACTTCAGGTAATTGGCTGGGCCATTCTACAGCTTGCTTTTCTTTCTCTGAAAGCATTTAAGAGTTTCCTTGGCTGTGTTTTGGATCATTCTCTTGCTGAAATGTCCACCCTGGTTTCATCTTCATCATCCTGCTAATGTAGATGTTGGACTGAAGCAGATAATATTTATTTACAGTAAGGAAAGGCAGAGGATTGCTGAAGAACTACTGAGAGGTTTCAGCTGCTGTCTTTTCATGCCTGTCAGCACCTTCCCTTGTTTATGTGTTTAATACATTTCTCTGTGTCATTTCATTTCATTAAACTAAACTTCAATAAACTAATTAGTAAAGCTGTCACGATCCTCCAAATCCTCGATTCGATTACATTTTCGATTCTAAAGGCACGATTAGATTTTCGATTATGAATAATTAATTAATTAATGACCAATTAATTATTTGTAGCCTACCGTTTAAACTACCTGACCTGCATGGTCTTTGTTTTACCCATAAACAAATCATACAGTAAATTAATAAAGGCAAGATACACGCATAATTACCACCTGTCAATCACTTTTTCTGCGGTACTCGTGAATAGGCAGTGATCTGTGTCGTTATAATGGCGTCAGTAAAAAAGACGCACAACCAACAGAAACCAGCCAACAGTATCTGAGGTGTTCGCTAAAATGACTAAGTACAAGTGAGTGAAAGATTGAAGCAGTCTGTTTATCCTCTGACTGCCTGAACCTGCTCTCTCGAGCGCATGGCTGTGTCACGTGATGTGCATTTTCAGAGGTAGTGAGGAAGGAGGGCTGCTCAGAAATGCTACACGCCACTGTGGATGTCAAATCGTTGTCGTTCTAAAATGCCATTTAAAAACAAAGACAGTGTAAACAGGGCCTGAGTGTGTACTTTTCGCGAGCGGATTTGCAACGGGGGCGGGCGGAGGATCGCGATGCCGGTGTTGTCTATCGGACAAACCGTACTTAATACGTACATAGCAGAGCTTGCAAAACTGTGTTTTTTTTTGTCGACAACACGAACGTTGTCAACATAACTCACTGGAAATCCAAAATGCTTACACACCGGCGACTTCATTGAAAGAGGAGAGGGTTTAAGTTCTGTCGACGGGTCTCCTGCTTCTGCAGTTTAACAAGCACTTCAACTAGCCTGTTTTTTTCCCGCTTGGCAAGCCAAGCTGACGTGACATGGGGGCGTGGCAGCATCGACGATTCTATTTTTTGATTCGATAATCGAAATTGAGCATAAATTTCGATCGATTTCGATTAAAAATCGAAATCGTGACACCCCTACTAATTAGATTTGAAAGCATGGAATAATGAAGCTACAATTTCAGCTTTGCATCACAATAATATATGACTCTTTACAGCGTATTAAACGTTAAACAATTTTAAATTGTCATTTTCCACAACGCATTACTTAGTCAACAAAATGCAAACAAATAAGTCAGTGCAACAAATGATCTGTAAATATTTAATGATTACATATTGTTCACATTATAGCGTAATGACTGCAATACCTTTTGCATCTTAGCAAAGCGAATGGACCTCCAGATTGTGCTTAACTGCTCTAAATCTTCTGCAATAAACCCATCACCCACTCATATTTTAACAGTTTTGCTGTGACTTTGGCTTGAGTGTGAACAGTACAGTAATGCCACACTTCTCGCTCTGTTTCAGGTGGTAACAAACAGAGACACACAGGAGACCCTGCTGTGCATGGCCTGTGTGTTCGAAGTGTCAAACAGCGAACACGGAGCCCAGCATCACATCTACAGACTAGTGAAGGAATGAAGCAGCTCTTTCACACAGACTCTGGACCTCAGTACAGTGGCAGTGCCTCTAGCTCAACACTCACTCAAGATGATTTTACGTCACGTTTGGGTGATGCTTCTAATTATATATATATATATATATATAAATATATATTTTTTCTTTATTAATATGTGTTTGACGTTTAACTGCAGCTGTGAATCGCGGTACAGTTGTGTTTTGTTTTTAACGTGCGGGAAAGAATGTCTAAGAATGCAGAATCAACGTTCATTTGTAGACCTATAAAGCGACAGCATCATTCGACTTAAGGGCTGGGTTGAGTTTCACTGAATCAATCAAACGCCATCATTTCAGTTTTTTTTATTCTGAAAGGTACACAGATGCATACAAGTGCAGCCTTAAATGTGTGTGTGTGTCAGTGAGATGTTGATGTACAGTGGGAACGGAAAGTATTCAGACCCCCTTACAATTGTCACTCTTAATTATATTGCATCCATTTGCTAAAATCATTTAAGTTCATTTTTTTCCTCTATAATTTGCACACAGCAGCCCATATTGACAGAAAAAAACACAGAATAATTGACTCTTAAAGATTTATTAAAAAAGAAAACTGAAATATCACATGGTCCTACGTGTTCAGATCTTTCGCTCAGTATTTAGTAGAAGCACCCTTTTGATTTAATGCAGCCATGAGTCTTTTTGGGAAAGATGCAACAAGTTTTGCACATATGGATTTGGGGATCCTCTGCCATTCCTCCTTGCAGATCTTCTTCGGTTCTGTCAGGCTGGATGGCAAATATTGGTGGACAGCTGTTACGTAGCGAATTGCACCACGCTACGCACTTAAGGATAAGGATGACCGTCTATTAAAAGAGGTCACCCGGAGTCCCAGTTTCTGCTCCCCAAGCAAATACCCGTCAACCCTCTTGTTTTTCCCGGGATTCTCCCGTATTTTACAGTTCTATCCCGCTATCATCCAGTAAAGGTATTTTCCCATATTTCTCCAGTATTTTCAGTCTTTCAATGAAACGGTGGCAAGAAACATTTAAGAGCCGAGCCTCCCTATACGCAACCCATACCACCGAACCACCAGGGGCCGCCACTTGCTCTTCAATGTGAGTCTGTTCAGTGCTTTTGCTTCGTTTAGGCACAAAAACACTGAGAAATAAAAAAAAAAGGTGCGATTCCCTTTCTTTTTATTACAGGAGCCGTCACCCCTCCTATACAATCCTCAAAACAGTCATATAATGGTGCATGACTGTCAGCTGACAGGCTCTATAGTGATGAATAGACGCTGAATCCCAAACAGATTCTGTACACGCAATTTGAAGCGGAGCGACAGTCTGGCTTTTGGGTGCATGTATGACCAGACATATACACATAATTAATAATGATAATTATAATAATATCAAAACATGTCGATCTTGGTGTTTTTTTTGTTTGTTTTTTTTAAACACAACTAATTTTATCTTAAATGAGCGTAAAAAGTTAGGAAAGCAGTCGAATGCCTTCATTCTCTTATTATGGTGGGTATATCCCTTATTTTCACATGCCAATGTTGACAGGTATGCAAGCACGCACACACAGGCCAAGTTGTCAAAAAAGGGTAACAGATTTATTAAGCAAATATTTCCAGTATCAAAACAAGGGAACAAAAGGCCAAAACAACAAACAAAACAAGGTGAGCTACCTAATATGGGATTTCTTACCTAAACCGAAAATAAAGTTATGAAAATGAAACAAGCAGTTCTACCCTCCATCACTATTTATTAAACAGGAGAAAACGTGACAAAAGAAAAAGGCCTTCCCTTAGACCATTCAGCAGTAAATAAACATTCAGCCACAGCGAACGGAATACCGTCCTATTACCGTATTCAACACAGTATCTCACCGAATGACATTGGAAAAGGGTTGATGACAGGAAAGAAACGATCAGCCACCGCTAGTGCAAGTTACCATCCTATTTATTTAATAGAATATCTCACCAGATGTCTTTGGAAAAAGGTTTCAGACAGAAAGATATCACTGCCACCCAGAGAACTTAGAGTGATCTGCTCACACACACACACAACAGCGAGGGGAAACAGGAAGAGAACTCAATGAACATCGCCAATAACGTGCTTTTTTTTTAATTGGCGCTGCCCCTCTCACAGCTGCACCTGATCATTAGAGATTATGACATAATGGAGGATACAACACACAGGAACAATACACAACAGCATTGTTGAAATAAAGTTACACAATATGAAACAACAGGCCTTTTTAGGTCTCTCCAAAGATGCTCGATTGAGTTTAAGTCTGGGCTTTGGCTGGGCCATTCAAGAACAGTCTAGTGGGCTGTGGTAAAGCCAGTCTTTCATTATTTTAGCTGTGTGCATAGTCATTGAATTGTTGAAAGGTTTATCTGAGGTCCTGAACACTCTGGAGAAGGTTTTCGTCCAGGATATCCCTGTACTGGGCCGCATTCATCTTTCCCTCGATTCCAACCAGTTGTCATGTCCCTGCAGCTGAAAAACACCCCCACAGCATGATGCTGCATACTTTCCGTACCCACTGTATATACGATTTCACATATATACAGTGCTCAGCATAAAAAAGTATTCATTTTTGAGTGATTATATCTAATAAATTAAGGGTGGATTCAAACATTTTTATTGAATATTCATTAAAATATGAGTTTGGCCACCTTATAATCTTTTGGAATTGAAAGATAAGTCAAATTTAAACTAATTATTGCAAAAACTACACAATTTAAATTAATTTTATCTATATTTTATGTTGTGTTTCTATTTAGTTTTCCTGCTTGTTTAAGTTGTGTTTTTATTTTCACCCAACATATTAATTTCAGTGTACTAAATTTTGGACTCTGATCTTGTAAAGTATTTATTTTTGGTTGTTAGATACCACACAGGCTCTTTCTGAAAACGTAGCCCTATATACATTTCTGGAGATCATAAATTATGTAGCCAGAAGTACGTATGGCTGCATTTTGTTTTTAAACGAATGCTATTGGAAGGTATGATGCCATTCCTTTCCGCGCTTACCAGCTGACCACTTATCTCTGTATGGACCAGTTTCCTGCTGTTACCAGTTTGTCCAGTAGCTCGCCATGTACATCGGCGGGTCTGAGATGCAGTTTGAGTCTGACAAAGAACAGTTCCAGAAAGCAGGTGAAAGAAAAACAGAAGCCAAAAAAAATAATTAAAAAAAACAAGTAAATAACAGTGTGGGAATGTCGTAAAATCTGTTTTCTCGATTGGATTTAGGAAAGTGGGTGGGTGGGTCAGTCAGTTGAAAATCAGTCGATAGCAGCCTCCGGTGGATTTACGAAAGAACAGCTGGCGCAAAAGTCACTCGTGATCTCAAAAAGCGTACACAGCGGCCTCTGGTGGATTCGCGAAAACAAAAACTGCAAAAAAACGTAGCTCCTGGGACGTACTTGGCGCTCTCCAGAAATTTATATAGCGGTACGTTTTCAGAATGAGCCTGGGTTGTTTAGATTAGTTACAGTTTTGTCTTTGGTATTGACTAGTCTAATGTATATTCACAAATATATTATGGTAAAGCATCATATAAATACAATATTAATTTAAAAGGGATATCTGTGAGGGGTCTACTCATTTATGCTGAGCTCTGTATGTATTTTTATTCCCCCCAAAGAAAAAGTATTCGAGAAATGTCAATCTGTAACAGTGATCTGTTGAAAAGAAACTGTAGGTGTTTAAGAAAGAAAAAAGGAAGAGAGAGAAAAGATTCTTGTGGCCATCAGAAAACAAAACGTTTCTGCATTCCAAACATTCAGAGAAATCAGAAGCCCAGCCCTTGAAAATCACTTTGTACACACTACTCTTTTATTTTATTTCAATATTTCATTGAGGAATTACTGCACTGTGATATGAGAAGTTTCTACCAACCTGTGTCTGTTTTCACGTGTCACCACCTGCAATAAGAAAATACAGAGAATCAATTTCTTACTGCACATCTGAACGCCGACATGCTTGTGTAAAAGATAACTGTAGAAAAAAAAAAAAACGAGAAGCACTGCATTAACTACCAGGGGTGTTGATGGATAATCCGTCAGCTTGACCTGAGCACTTGGATCCACTCGTCGGACATGTTTTGCCGCTGGGGAAACTTCACAAAAGCCCATCCCCTGTACGTCACGGAGCTCTCCGTCATCTTCTGTAAGAATCAGTCGTGTCCCAGAGTCCTTTGCTGCCTTTTACATTTCCACACAGCCCATGTCTCTGTGGCCTAATCGATTTTTTCAAGCCTTAACAATGGTTGTGTGAACTCCAAAAAAAAGATGCCACTAAAGCTGTGAGCTCTTTCCTAAGCTGGAAGACTTTCTTGTTATTGTCACGTTGTAGGAATTGTACAGTACAAACCTGCCAAAGTGTAACAATATACAGCACAGTGCCTTAGTGTAGAAGTGAAGGCGAATGATGAGCGCAGTCGTTTTTTGGGGGGGATGTATCGCTAAATGGTGCAGTCACATTCATGAAATTTCAATATAAAAACAAAAAAAATAAGTGTTTGTGGTAAAAGAGTCTGTATATACTGTAGAATTCATAAACTAGTGTTAATAGGCAAAATGTGACCACATTATTCTTTTTTAAACACCTCACCTTGGACTGAATGCAATCGACTATCAAAGCTAAAGACTATCGAAAGAATATATAACTTAAAGGGGCTAAAAATTTTGATAGTAACTGCTTTTATTCTAGTTGAAATAAATGAAATAAGACTTTCTCCAGAAGACAAAATTTTATCAGACATACTGTGATAATTTCTTTGCTCTGTTTAACATCATTTGGAAATATTTAAAAAAGAAAAAAAATCAATTGCGGGGCTAATAATCCTGACTTTAACTGTATGTATGTATATATATATAACAGTTCTGTCTGGTTCTCGAATCTGATTGGCTGGTAGCCGTGATATATTTAAGTAATATCAGCACCCGTACAGCCTCTTTACCCTTTGTGTATTACTCCGCCCACATACAACCAGCAACCAGCACTACAGATCTAAAGTTTAAAAGATGC